AAATTTGCCATTTTCTACAATCACGCCAAGTTCCTAATCATATCGATCTTGAAAACTACATAAATAACATCTATTTTTGCAGCAGAAATGTACAAACAAAAATTACAGACTCTATGAAGTAGATTTCAAATTGWRWTTTGTTTATCTTTTTGTGTTSTTTTTAGTTRTACCTACTAACTKCTACTACTACTACTCTATGTAAAAATAACGAAATAAAATACATCAGGTGTTTTGTATTATTATTCGCTTATAGCGAACTCCAAATATAACGAACCAGTTTTAGTTCATTTTTCAAGTTTGTTATATCCGGACTCAAYTGTAATTGTAGGTAAATAATGAAAGATGTTCACATATTTCATTATTTTTTATTTTGCCCACCTTTCTAAGTTCAAATGAGATTCCATCCATTTCCACTTCTAAAACACTRTCCCTTTATGATTCACTAGTTTTTCCCCTTTCACAGAGGTTTTTCATAGGACTTTTATCTGTTTTCTGGAGACCGATAAWCTACATTATATTGCGGCARWTTGTCAGTTTGACAACTAGACGTCAGSCTATCAAATATTGCGTCACTTCAGAAAAATAGTGGGRAATTCAAAATTTAATTAAATCAATTTAGGCAATTRTCCGYGTTAGAAGTAAAAAAATATATACAGGRTGACCCTGAAATGGCTGCAAAAYGCTTAACCGGAAATATGACGTTMCATGTTGTTGACGAAAAAAAGACGTCCAATGTTCGTATTTTTTTTACTCTTTGTACAAATAATTAAAGTTGCTGATTTTCGCTTGAACTTTTTTGAAAAACTTACAATTGAACTAATTTACTTAATTAAACGATCCAAATTCCTGAATATTCAAAAGTTTTCCTCGATATTCTCTTTTTAATAGGAATTTTATTGGGGAAAAGTATGAAGTGTAAATCGTTATCCATTTTGGGGGAAATCATCCATATAGAGTGGATTTGATATTGGCGCGATTATTCTGAAACCGGCCAAGAAAAAAAATATATTTTTAAAAATCATTCGCTTATGAAACATTTGCAGCGAATTTTCTCGGCGGAAAAACCACCTCTGAAGATCCAAGCGACTCCACCCCGAAAAACTCACTAGTTTCAAAAGTGTTTAAGTTCAATATCGAGAGTAGGGACGATACGATACTGAGAAAAAATCGATACTTACTCAAATGAGTAGTAACCAAATCGTCTTGCAATACTGCTCATATTCTAGTATTCTGAAAGTATTGAAACCA